TTTTTGCGAAAATCTAAAATTGTGTCTTGGCTGTTTTGCATACAAACGAGCTTTCTTTTTTAAGGACAGAAAGTGGAAAAGAGCCGATAAATTTATTGCTGCGCCTGAGGCAGTGCTGCGAGGCAGGAAAAGCTGCTCTAAGCAAATAGAACATGAGGTGAAAATCTATCTGAGCCCCCAGTGAAACTCCATTGTACCCAAGGTGCGGCACTTTTCTTCACTCCGGCGCTACAAATTCACACGGATTGGTGTGAAAAATAGAACATGCCTCTAAGTCTTCCCTCCTCCAGCCACACGCCTCCCCAGCCCGGAGGTAGAAGGGTATTTTGCACATAGTTTAATCCTCACTCGTTTCCTTCCACTGCTGCCACTTCGGTGAAAATAAATTGCGTGCGAACATGTAGTCACGTCGTGTGATATGATGTACGTTGAATTTGGTGCTACATATTTGAAAATCTGCCTGCCATTGTACGGTGTGCTCGAAAATATTCATCGCATTTATGGGTGAAAATGCGAATTTAACTAAAAGGAGCTTTGGCAACAAGAACGCCTCCCGATTGAGCAGACAGTCACCCCGGCAAGAGGATCTCATCCCCTTGAGGGTTGAGCGTGATGTATTAAAGTGGTGGAGTCCTTGAAACAATAAATTCAACCATCCTCTCCTCCAGTATTTGTGTCTCTATGCAAATTACAATGTAAAATTGTTTCGGATTCAATTGAAATAATTAAGAAATCTCCTTTGTTCACGAGCCTCGCTCGGCGACAACAATGAATGAATTATCACTCGTAGTTGCTACCGCTAATATAATTTTAAAAGCAAACGACAGGGAAGATTGGTACATCTCCGCTTCAGCTTCCTCTCATTGTGCTAGATATATACGTGACTATACAAATGCGAGGCAATAATTCAAAATTCTGCTCTGTCCCGTACTTTTCCTCCGGCACACATTTTGACATCTCTTTCGCACTGTTTATTCATAGTAAATACGTATCAAAAGAAGAGAAAGATTTAAATTGTTCCAAAACAATCGAACGAACATAGATTTTTAGTAAGAAAATATTGAGATTCATGAGCAATTAAACTCAGAAATTTAGTTGTATTGATGCAAAAATAATATTCAGTTGCTTTTCTTCTCATCATGCAACTTGCTTAAATTGTCGCATTTCCCCCGGAGAAGTGCTTTTCCATTAGTCCTATGATTTTCTCATTTTTCTACACTTTTCTCCAATCTGCCTTAAGCAGGAGTTTGCGTTTTTCTTTCTCTCTCAGAAAAATCCTTTTGTGCGTCAAATTCTGTGAGTGATGATATATTTCAAATTGATTTATGGTAAAAATTCCCAGTACGAGAGCGTCTTTCTCTCCTCTCCATCTTGTTCAGTTTAATTTCGGTGTCAGATTTAAATCCAATCCCCCAGAGATTCATGCACGGATTCAGAGTTCCACAGCGATAGTGCATGCACTTAATGTGAATTGTAATTCTTGTCTATGGAAATCTGGAACAAAGCGTGTTACGATGGAAGATGGGAAAAAGATTTTCCTTCTCCTCCGTTGTCATTATACAGTAATTGAAGCTGGGGCGTTCTTAGAGTGCTGCACAGCGCAAAATACAGGATGTTGAGCAAGTTGCAGGCGCGAAAATAAATCTGTGCGATAATTTAAAAGTTAAATTCAAATTCATAGCCCGCCTCTATGAGTGCCCATCAGATTCATAATAATCTCCTAATCTCAAAATAATATCACTCGTCATACCATTAGTCTCAATACGACTTCCGCCCAAACCCATACCCAGGCACGTAATGATGACCAGAGTCTATTGAGAAGGCGGAAAACGAGAGGAAAAATCATGGGAAGAAACGTGCAGTGGCTTGAGTGGAAAAATCAACAATTCCTCTGGTGTTTCTCTTCTCGGTCAAACAAAACAATTGAGATGGAATTGCCAGAGCCCACGTTTTCTCGCTCCTGCTCGGTCCGGCTGTTTGATGAAAATTGCGAAAATCCAATCCGTCAGGAGGAGAACTTTAAATCACATTAGAAGATTTCACCTTCACACAGCGTACACCCACACACGTGCCATGGCTTTCTCTCCCAGTGGAAATATGATTTTCCAGTGAATAACAGCCAGAGAATGGAATCTCACTCACTGAGTATATTTGTGTGTAATTTGCCATGTAGCTTCATTAAAATTACAATAATGAGCAGTGCGAAAACCGTAGCTAAGTGCATAAGTAATAAAATAGCAGAATCACAAAGTTTTTTTTTTAACTATACACTCCGAGCGCTTTCACTGAGATTAAAGATTTTACTGGTAATGAAAATACCTCAATATTAAAGTATCCTTTATATGAATTTGAGAAATTTGTCTCAGTTTTGAAAAATTAATACACTTCTCAGATCACAAAAATTTCCATCATTCAACTGGAAACTATTTTCAGTGTTAGCAAACACCTCTAAAGGTCGACAATATTGCCAGGAAATTTATCTGACACTGCATTAGAGTACATGAGGTACAAAGTGGATAAATAAGTTGCAAATTATATAGAGAGTCACCCTCGAGAGCTCTGCATTTGACATTATGCCGTGCGCATAGGATGCTCCTTGGCATAGTTTATGTGCAAGATATCAGCGACTTCATGAATATGTGTGTCATGTGTAATATTAATGTGTAAAAGTTTAAATTTAATAAATGCACATAGTATTAAGCATCGCAGCAAAAACACACCACCAGTGAAGTTCTGGCAAACTCTTGCGCATCTCAGGCTCATTTTTTCCAATATCGTCATAATTTATGTAGGAAATGATATGAGAATCTTCAGGCACACGCTTTTATCATTTCCACCTCCCGCCCTCTTCCCTTCTGCACAATCACACTCTTTCTCTTTTTCATCCTGAACTCCCTTTTATCTGGGGTATCTCAGTGTTGAATTTCACTCCGAACAGAACACCTTGGGTGATACTGTGTGAATAAAGAACACCCTCAATAAAATACCAATTTCAAAGCCTAAGTACTCCTCGATACTCAGAAAGTTCCATATATAGGACCTTGGTAGGCATAAGAGGTGAATATTGTATTAAAAGAGCACGACTGAGAGGCGAAAAAGTGTGAAAGAATGGAAAGTAGAGGTTGAGTTTTTATTTGCAACATCTCCATTTTTCTCAATTTTTCCGCACGACACCCAAATTCCTCAGCAAATTGTCCTTCCTTTATTGGTCATATCCCAACAAGGAATTTCCTCACAATTCCCTAACGGGTCACTTTTAGTGCCAAAAGGTACAGATAGACTTCTCCTAGGGCTGCAATATGTCTAATACAGTTGCCACATCCCTCTATGCATAATGATTATATATCCTGAGTGAGGCGAGAAGGGAAAAACTCCTTAATTTCTTCATCTCCAAATTCTCACCAAAAGCTCAAGGGCTCTTTGCTCTCTCGCCCTTTGTCTGCGGCTTCATCCACTTACTTTGGTGCTAATACATAGCAGAGATATGTGGATTTACCTCTGCCTTTGTTGCCGCAAAACTGTAGATGAAACACACAGCACAATCCCTCCTTCAACTCTCAAACTTTTCAACCTGATTTACAGGACTGCGGTGCTTCAAGTATATATAAAGCATCTTTTCGTACAATTTTTTTTCCCTATTGCCACACTCCCGAATAGACTCAAATCGCATCTTCAATTTGCCACAGTCTCATCTATTTTTGGCCCCTCTATGGAGGGCTTAGATGAGGATCACGGAGTCTCCCGTGAAAAGCCACCCAGAGGAAAATCTCCCGGAAATCTGGGTGATGGGAAAAGAAGGTCACGATAATGAGAAATGCGTGGAAATTAAAGATTCCACTGCTGTGGGTGTTTCCCTTAGGCAATTTTCGTGCATTTCGATTATAAGCAGATTAACTTCTCTGCAACTTATCTCGCTTATTATAAAAGGATTTGCCATAATGACGCCGAGTGAGTCTCAACTGATAAGCCAACTGTATACAAATTATCTTCCGCCCCATGCTCATCCATTTCCGGCTGCAAACGCCTTCCCTTCCAACTCCCCCCATTTATTCCTACACGACCATCGGAGCACTCTCCTGGCATGTCTAACTCCCGATGTGCTGACTGCTGAGAAGTTGCTTCTCGGTTGCATATAAACTATTTTCCAAAAACCACCCCATTCAACCCCAGCAGCAAAGTGTGGAACTGATGCAAAAGTCGTGTCACTACAAAACGTGTCTCTTCGGGAATGTCTCTCTGGTATTATTTATTATTCGTGCGAGAAAGACTTTCGTCACACTTGGTTTAAAAGATATACACAGAATCATTCCTCCTGTCGCCATCTATTACGCCACATGACTGACAATACATTTATCTGCATTCATTGCTTGTTATCCACCCATTTTCATTTTTCATCGCCTTCCGCATCTACTTTCTCGCACTTGTCGGGTGGATGTAATCGAAAAAGTTAAGCTAATATGACTGTGGGTGAATATCTGTAATTCATTCTGATTTCCTTCGCTCTTTTCTATATTCCAAATGCATTTTGCATATAAATTCAGTACTATTCTTAACCAACCAAAAAAAAATATTGTAATCGTATTCCATGTGAATCTGCTCGAAATTCGTGATTTACCAAACACCTCTTGTGTCGCTCTGTCCCATTTCCCATCTGTAGTTCCCTCAGCAAAGCGCGCGTGATCCCTGAAATCACTATTGTCAGCATTTTGCCACATTTTCGCAATTTCGGCACAATGCAATTGGCAACTTTTAATCATCACATACACGTTTTCACACCTAAAGGGATGGCAAAAAAAAAGTCCACCGCCCTCCAGTGTTGAGCTTCTGATGTGCAACTCTTCCTGTCCACTTTAAATTCACGTGCAATTTGCTCTTGCCACAGAACAAAAACGCCCCGCACACGCAATGTTACACAACTTTGGGGTGGGATGATTTAGCAACACTGGCAATATGCAAACGGGGCGGGGCGGCGGTGGTATGAAAGGAGAGAAGCAACTCACCGTAGTCCTGTTGTAATTTCCAGAGCACCATTGAAGTTGCCAATGTTCCAGCATGTGAGAGCTGCACGCAGCAGGCACGCGAAAGCCGCTTTGCGTTCATCCTGCGAGCTTTGGGACACAATGAAGTGCGCCACCCATGAACAGACCTGGTGCAGATGAGAAAATATGTTATATAGTGTGTGCTTTATATGCTGATTTGCAATTTGATTGCAAGAGAGGTATTTGTGCGACAGATCTTTTATGAGATAGTTTGGAGATCATAAACGCACGCCTGAGAAAACAAAGCCAGTTTATGAGAATTCCAACACATCCTTAAGTATACACTAAATACTCCAAAGTGTATTGTATACTATGTATAATACGCCCTTTCTCTTCCCCTGCCGCAGTGTTGGGGCTGAGAACACGTTTTCGAACAATGTCCTCATCAGTGTCACTTGTCCGAGGGCTCTTGGTGGTGGCAAGGAGCACCGGAAAGGAACTCCCAGTGGTGCTGTGCCAGTGTATTTTCTCTGGTAATTTGACTCCACGACTATGTGGCCCACCCATTAGAATAATTTAATGCCACCTTGAGATCTAATTAAAAACACGTTTAAGCGCAAAACCATGTGGACTAAATGGCAGGAATATTTCTTGCGCCTGGCTAAGATACTCCCATGTAAATTCCATGCTCGATGGTGTATCTAAATGGGCCACTTGAAGTGCTCTGGCGTTCCTCCGGGGGGCGGCAGAGGGGCGAAGGACGCCACAGCCGTTTCCTGGCCGTTAGCATGACGGGGAAAGGGAGAAAAGTGAGGCCTCGATGGGGACGCCGGGTGGTGCGTGTCGACCGAATGATCCGTAAAACTCTAACTCCTGTTCCACTGTGGTGACTCTCATTCTCTCCCCCGAGGGGGAAAGTCTGGCTGGAATTTGTAAAATCGCTCACGTTGGTCCACCCACTCGCTGCTATATACACTGTCACGTTGGCGTGGGAAAGTGTATTGAAAAATATGCTTTCACCCATTTATCACAATAAAAAGAGAATCAAATGCGTGGTATAAACGGCATTTTGCCTTTGATTTAGGGACAAGCTGTGAAAGTCTAGTGAGAATAAATGACCAATTCCTCGACAGTGCTGAGATATTACGTAGATTTTAAAATAAATGCCCCAATTAGAATTTACTGAAACACCACCAATACATTCCTTTCAACCTTTCTTCATCTTGACTTTAATTCTCGTTCACACTTGCACAATAAATTCCGCAACGCAACTACTTCAATTTAACCCAATGCCCAGAAGTCTCGAGATTTTCCTGACTTTTTCCCAATAGAGGGAGAAGTATTGCGTATGTGAGATACACAATATACGCCCAGGATATTTATGCGCCCCCAGAGTAAGTGTTATGTGAAAATAGTCGCTCCCCAAAGCCACCCATCATCATCCTCCGAGCGCCACTCTCTCTGTCTCTCTCTCTTGTTGCGTTTGTTTTATATAATCGCACGCGGGGGCGGGTTGGAGACAAATGGAAGTGGGTGTCCTATTGAAATTCACAACGTTATACGGTTTTCATATCGCACACACCACACAGTATTGATCCGTCAAGAAGAAAATTAATAAACATGGGGCTCAAGTTTCAAGAGTTGGCTAGAGATGGAGAGAAAAAAACTGGGTGTATAAACAAAAAATCCCATTATGTATATATGTGTTTATGTGGGGAGAGAATTATTTTCCATCACGACTGAGCGATAAGGGCTGCAGAGGGCGGGGGAGGACGTCATCCTTTGCTGGACGACATGATCCGAGATATAGCAAGTGGAGGAATTTCTTTATCACTCACTCTCGACACAGCAATTTCGGGTGTTACTCTCGGCGTTCACGGATGGATGGAGATGAGGTGAAGATGGACAAAAGAGTTTGTCTAAAAATAAACACCTCTCAAGCAGTTGTGATCGGGGTATCTGTTGAAATTCGGCACATTCCCACAGCGTGACCTCTTAACCCCACGCGTGTCCACAAAGAGCCGCTCCGCGAGGGGCTCAGCGTTGGCGGCAAGAAAAGGCCAAATATGTTAATTTTGCTATCGTGAAAGAAACATGTTCACTTCGTCTTTGTGAGGGAAAACAGAAGCCAAAATTTTTCTAATAGATCGTGACAGTAAATATTGCGTGTCTACGGCGCGTAGCACGTGAATAGATGAAGGCATAATTTACGCACTTGGCAATATGTATACATATCCAGAGAACGGCTGGAGCAACTCCGAAAGTTACATTGTGTATTTGTGTGTGCGTGGAAAAAGTCTGATAAAGATTTTGATAGAAGACAGAAGAAACACTGGGAGAAAACCTATGAAAATGGGAATGTGCTTGAAAATTGTTTGTACTCTCTGGAAAGCAATTTGATTTAATAAATTTGTGGCCGTGAAGAAAATGCCAAATCTCGACAGACTCTGAGGCAAAAGTTTTCCCCAACTTTTTTAGCAGTGCATAGGAGAATAACAAAAAAATATCACAGCTTTGGTATCGCTTAACCGGCGACATGTGTTCCAAGTTATTTCGCACAATGCCAAATTGTTTGACTTGCTGAAACTTTTCCCTGTGTTCACGTTGAGATTCCTATATATATTCTCAATAATATATTACACACACACACACACATATTTCTCTCCTACGCTATGGTATAAAGCATCACACTTTTATTTCTTCCTCTCTTATTGTTGAAAGAAATGGTAAAGTGCAGAAAAGTTTCCTTTTTTTCCTCTCTTACAAGAATATTCTTATGGATATTTCGACCAACTTTCACTACTTCAAAAGGCTCGAACTTTCTCCCTATTTGCGAAAAACCGCATGAAAAAGATGTTGAACACAGTAAAAAAAAACGCAGTGTGTCTTTTGTTAGTGCCTCAAAGTCTGAATATCAAATTAATAAAATAATGAAAAGGTTAATTTATCTGAAAGACCGCGAGGGTGGTTTTCATGTGAAATTGAATTTTCGCAATTACCAAAGTTGAATGACGATTCATTTGAATTCATTGTGGACACGACAAAAGAATTCCATGAATTGCAGAGCAGCTCTCAATGAATTGAGTGCCCTGAGTGATTCGACACCTTGTGGAAAAGCATCCACAGGAGACACATTTTCACCTCTGGCACTCCAAGAGCCACACCGCAGAGCTTGAATGAGAAATGCTGAGAGTGGTGACATGAGACTGTGTCAAATTAAGTGTCACAATTTGTATATAATAAACACATTTGCGCCATTTGCGAGATTTTCACAATGAGAGAACTTTTTTGCAGTATTCAATGAATAAGCAAATTCAATTCAAACTATTTAAATCAATTTAAACAATTTAGAGAATGTTTTGACTTAACTTCAATGCGCGAAATCAGCTCTTAAGAGAATTTATGTATTTAAATTAGAGAATTTAAACAACATTTAAGCAAATGAAATACTTTTTAAATTAATTTGTACACGAAGTATTTAGTAAATGTTCAATGAGCTTTTGTAAACTTTTATCAGTAAAAATTAGTGCACTATAAAATTCTGTGTGAAATTACACGTTGACATAAGTTTTTCCGGTATTTTATCAAATTTTCATATGAATTAAGTATGCATTATCAGTGATAATCGTTTGTGCAATTTTAACTCGTTTCAGCACAGCAAAATCCGATTAATATTGCAAATTGTGAAACACTTGATGAAAAATATAAACCGAGATGGAAATCGCGGGTAATAACGGAAGGTTGTGAAGCGAACAGCTCTAATATTTCACTGAATTAATGATTGCAGACTGAAATGCTGAGGAGAAGAGCTTCTACTCACCTCATCGAATCGCTTTTGGAGGCCTCTGATTGACGATCGTGGCGGAGGTGTTGGTGGAACCGCAGCAGTTTCGCCTTGCAATTCTAATATCACATGTTTGAAGTATTCTACGGGAGGCACCTGAAAGAGAAATTGTCCACAGGATTGAGCAAAAGTGCCAGTGTCATCCCCGCAATAAGTCACGCAGTTAAGAATGTATTAATTTCACGTTCAACCGAAAATTGCTGTAATGCTATATTTTACGTGGGCTGATGGTCGGATCACGAGTTCTGGGGATGGCGCAAAATGCTGTGGAAGATGTGGATGGGGCGGTGTTTTCCGCACTGTGGAATTTGTATGGCATGTCGAGAGGAAAACAGTCTCTTGAGAAATGATAAATTAGATCTTGGGTAGCTTTGCCTTCTCACCCTCCCGCCCCCGAAACACGGGACACGAACACTCATTATTAAACGCCCTTATACGCTTCCTTCCACGCATACACTTTTTCGAGTGTCTATTTATTATGAATTTAGTTAGTGTGCACGTCAGTTGATTTCTATGTCACCTCCTCCATATTCGGCACTTTTTCTTTTTTTATTACCCATCTACAATTCACGGATGTGGAGCTTTTCTTCTGAGAGAGGGCAAAGTTCAGTTTGCGAAGCTGTGTGTTCTTTAATTACTTGCTCGAGTTCACCGAAGCTCTCTGCCAAATATAGACCCTCGAGATTACTTATTAAATCATATTCTAAATTTAATGGGTAAATATTTGTCTCATGGTGCGAAAAAATAATTTAAACGTCCCAATTCAATTTCTCGGAGAAAAGTTCGTAGGGTGTTTTTTTCCCCGTCAACAAGGAGGGAAAAAAAGTTTTGAAGATTTCGAGTAAATGAGGAAGTTTCGAAATTAATTTTTAGGATTTCTTGTTAAATCTCAGAATACCAATATATTACACGTTCATTCATTTCACTAATCCAGCAATCCTGAATGTACAGAAGCACTTTCACTCTCTGCCGAGGTGCGTTCATCCGTGAAACGTTTCGGTGTTACTTCAATTTTCACATCCGTAAGAACATAATCCGGAGTGAGAGTATTAAAAATGGAGATGGTATGAAAATTGTCTGACATCATCGTTCTGTTTAATATTGTATTTATGAGCTTTCTTGAGTGTTAAACTTAATTTTTCCACCCTTGGCAATTCAGCACTTCACTGCAAATGGACAAAATATACCTGATAAAATAGTTGATATTCCGCATCGGTAATTCTCAGTGCAACTTCCTCTGGAAAGTGTAGGACATGCTGCAGTTCCTCCAGATCTCCCGGATGGGAGGGAGCATAGTTAGTTGCCGTGGCACCGACAGATGTTTGTTTAGAATTACCTGCAAGGAAGCGAGAATTTTATTTACTGTGAAAGATGAGAGAACTGCAAATTTGTGTGCAGAAAAGTTGGGCAGAAAGTTTGTGACAAGGACGAAAGGGGTTATTTTCTCTCACTCGACATGCTAAATAGGCTCGTCCTTGGAAAATTCATTCATGGAATTGATTATCTTGTGCGGCTATAATGTTGGTCATCATCTCATCGAAAACTCTCCCTCTTGTTCTGTATATTATGTACACACACCCATGATGAAAGGGCGGGGATTGGAGAGAAGTGTGTGCTTGGGGAAAGTTCAACAATTCACTTGTCAAACTTACATAATGTACAAATCCATCCCCCAAATGGTATCCCGGAGAAATTTCCGATAGATTGCCCTCGCCTAGTGTGTACGCAATGCTCACACCCATCGACTCTTATGGCTTCTTCGAGGCCAATATTGGGACTGTTTTGATATCGGAAGCGTGGAGGGTGGAGAGGGGAGAACCATCCTTGAAAAAAATTGGTAAATTGTCGAGGTGTGTGTTGATTGTGTGCCTCCACGGGCCATGGAGTCCGTGACATCGATATAATGGAATTCTCTCTGCACAGCCACTTTATTTGGTGATCATTCCTCCTTTGCTCCCAGGTACGAGGGTCTCGGCTGTATTTCATAAATTCAATGATTTGCTACTTTCCAACCACACCCCAGCCGCTGCAATCTCACCGTGGGATGTGGAGTGTGTCCTTCTCTCGAAAAAATTTCCTTTTTTTCACACCCTGTCCACACGTTCTATATTAAAATCCCAGCGGGTGTAGCACTGTGGACAAGCGAACGAGGGTTCTTTCTTGCAGAGGATTCTCTTAGCGTTTGTGCATGAATAAGAAGTCACATATCTTGTCATCGAACTATAAGCGGAGTCAAGGACGAAATTCGGATATGGATTTTTTTCTCGAGGACACAGAAGAACTCATGAAAGTCTAGTTGTATTTATGATTCAAATAACAATTTTGCAAACCCTCTGTTTTTTTCAATTATCAATTGACAAGGATATGAAATAATAACAGAGAAAATTCTCGCCTAATCAGAACTCAACAGCTTAATCACGAAAGTCAGTGTCATCTCAGAAGAATCACATGCCTCGCAAGCTCAACAACTCATATCACTGATTTCTATCTCAACTTCTCTCCATTGAAAAGACATAACTTCACAGCCATCATATGAGGAATAATAATAATAACATGAGAGATAGAACGAGAGTGTTTGGAAGAGCAGAAAAAGAGACGATGACGATGTAAACGGTAAAAAATTTGATATTCTTCCACAATGACATTTCTCTATCTCCTCGCCAACTCAACTTTCTTAGAGCTTTTTCACTCCTCGTCCTCGAAAGCTCCTTCCTCTTGTCACATATAAAACACACCATATATCATCACTATACACAATCTATGCTGTGGAAAGTGACAATGAGTTTTCCACCCACACGAAGGAGAGCCACACACTATCCATTGAGAGGCATTTTTGGCGCACAGACATTTTTATTAATGAAAATTCCCAGAATATTTCTCTAATATGCAAAATGTCTCGGAATTTCCACTGTTGAAAATTTAATTTTGTCATGTGGGATGACAAAAAAAGTCAATATTTCCTTTCCATTCCCAGCATGTGTTCTAGCCAATAATGCACACGAGCAGACCCTGATCTTGCCTCAGAGTTGCCATCTCTCACACCTCCTCTCGGGCTCGACTTTGACACATTTTCCCACCCACGCGGGGGTTGTAATTTCGAGGTTCGTCCTTGCATTCAGTGGCCTCGGGATTGACGGTGAGTGCGCGCCCAAAAGACATGGACCGTGCCAAACGTGAAAAGGTTCAGTCAGGAAGATGTGATAAGTTGACAAGGACACTGATACACACACATTTCCCGGGGTCTCACAGAAGTGGTCTGAGCTCATTTTAGAGGATGAAGAAGAGCGGCAGCATGAAAGAAAATCTCAACTCAATTACATTAATGTCATTTCGCCTTTGGAACTCACCCCGGAAGCACCCACTTGAATGTGCGCGACAAAACAACGGCGAAAAATCATTCAGGACCTCCTCAGCCAACCTTACCTACACATTCTCCAGAGACTCTCCAGAAAGCCAGACAACTCTTGAATGTGGGATAGTGAAATTTATGTGGATAATTCAATTTAACACTCACAATGCACTGAACAAATTGATTATATCGGATATACTCTTCACTGATTCCTTTTTTGCTCATCGGAATGGCAATGAATGAGGAATTAATTTCCAATTGATCCGCCGGATACAACAATGGAAAAATCAGCTTTTTTCCCTCTCACTCTCTTTCTCTCTGAAAATATTCATCAGAATATGGAATGATATTTAAATTAAAGTCGAAATAACATTCCAAAGTCTGTTAAATTTTATCGTGAATATTTCATACGAATGTTTAATAAACATCCAACTCTATTTTGGGCCATTATCTGTAATTTGATGTCAGAACAAATTTGGATCGCCACACAATTGTATCTCTTCATAATTGTGAATGAAATTACTGTGTTTTCCATTTATTTTTAGTACATCAGCACGTCTATGTAAATCAAGTCACACCTCGCATGACTGAGAGGTTGATAAGCTTCATTTCTTTGAATGTGCGCGAGAATTTCTCTAAACAAAACCCAAAATTCCATATAATCACATGGAAGAGTGAGTTCTCTTGCGCAACAACACAGAGTCAAAGACACCTCGCACTCCTGTGTAATAATGATTAAGTGGCATTTCATCCTTTTAATAAACATTCAGCAACGTGTTTTGAAAACTACCTTCTCCGCATTTGAAAGACTAATGATACCACTATACTACCAATTTGCGGGATAAATATTTCAGTGCGAAAATGAAAACAGGGAAATAATATTCTCTGGGAAAAATACCTCAACAAAACATTAGGAGATTGTGTGAGATGAGCATGAGGTTTGATAAATTGCTGATATTTATCGTGGTGAAAGCTCAGGGGGAATTCCCGAAAGCTCGCTAGCGAATGAGTTCCCGGACTCAAGTGTCTTCTCCACAAGACGCTGACATGGATGGTGGGAGTGAAGCAAAAATGTTAATTATGATAATTCAGTTTGTGTCACTCTGGCAAGCATGTTAAGTGAATGAGGGTCTGAGTGTGGAAAGCCAAGTGCAGCGAAAGCTCTGAGAAGCTCCATAATGTCTCTCGTCATTCACACTATGTACAAAACATAATGTACATTATGGAGAAATTAGGTGAAAGTGATGATTTTCCTCTGTGTGGAAGCAACAAAAACAGCACCGAAGGTGACAACAGTAACAAAAATGAGCGCCTCACGCAAGCGGAAGTGTTGCTTGTTTGCAATTAAGGGGGTGTTTTTTTACGACAGAAAGCTAAGATATTGGCAGAGCGGGGGCCAACCTGGGCTCAATCAATTCCGTCGCCTGAAGAGGGTTGCAAAAATATGCCATACGACATAAATTTCACCCCTATCATGGCCAATAGGCGGTGGGAATGCGTCGGCGGAGGGTCGTGTAACAAAATATCGGGGTATAAATTTTTCAATGTGGGTCCAGGAGAGAACACATAAAATTAAAACTCATAATTTTCCATACATATTAAATTTCCAATTAAAATTCCCACCCCTGACGATAATTTGCCGCCATTCGTAGGCCAGTCTGGTGGTGAACATCTCTCTCCTCGCCCGTCTCCTTTGACCTCGAGCGTAAGGAGCACGAAAAATTGGGTAAACAGGCAATGCTTACGTGATTGTGGATTCCTCGAGTTACCATCTGAGGCATATCACCAGAGAAATACACCTTTCGCAATCCTTTTCAATAGGCAGAGCCGTCGTGAGTGCGCTGCGAGAAATCCCCAAAGTAAGAACTCACAGCAATCATTTTCTCTCGCCCCGAAGCTCCTTTTTACTACTTTCTCCAGTTACAATCCATGCAAATACCCTGGGTAAGTCTCCGACAGTCCCTTCTCTTCCGCCGCCCCCTTTCACACCCGAAGGAAACAAAAGAGAATTTTGGGAGGCCAGAGCACAAGTTTCCGCTACTAAGTGCCAATTTCAGGAAATTAGATTTCTAGTCACATACACTTTCGCCCATCAAAGGGAAAGAGCGGAGGAGCACAAAAAATACAAGGGGTCCGAAAAGTGGGCAAAACCTCTCCATGGCTCTATCAGAGGACGAAACAGTGCGCCCAAGTTGGGGGCATGGGGGGTGTCAGGGACCAAACCATTTACTCTCTCACGCCTGAGAATTGCCCCATTCTCACCCACGATGCGCAATCACCCTCCCACTGGGAGACAGAAGTGAGTGGCCAGAGGACATACAACCAATAAAATAAATCACATTTGGGCGATTGCAAAAATTATGTGATTTGATCAAATTACACGGCCGTAGCAGTCAATCTCATGGGGATTTACTTTGCAGGCAGAACAATAGGAATAGCCACCCCTAATCACCGTATTTCACCACCCCACGACGCCCTAGTCCAGAGCCCACCCATCCTAGGCGAAGCATCGTGGCGCCTAATTAAAATTTCATTATCGCAACCTTGGGAAAACAACAGTGACCTCATTTTTCCACATTAAATTTTCATCACACACTTCCTCCAACTCCGAAGAACACCCACATCCTCCGCACGCACTCACAATTTCGTCATCGTACTTTATTGTACTATTTTTCAACATGTCACAGTGTCATGATGGGGCGTGTGTGTGTGTAACTTTCTGCATCTTTTATAAATAGCTTTTCTCGAGTCGACCACAGAAAAGCAATTGTGGAGAAACTTTTCTCACTTCCCGCCATACCATCTGCCGAGCACGAGATTTTACAATTGGAGTCAGAGTTGAGTATATTAGCAGGATTTTACACTAGATCTAATGATTGGACAGATTAAATTGATGATTAAGGAACTTATTAAATTGAACTCAGCCATTGACACCAAATATATTGTCATTTTTAAGATGGGTCAGTGAATTTATCAATAAGAAATGACTTTTTTTTATACCAATTTTAACATCTAGAAAGCTTTACTGCTCTCGTTAATTGGGTTTATCTATTCAATTAGCAGGGAATGAAATTAATCTTAAATCTAAAATTTTTAAAGAACATAACGAATCTCTGTGCGGAAACGGCGGAAACTTATGCAAAACCCTCGAGAACATCTGATTTCATCTGTTAAATGGATATTTCATACGGGTTTGGATATTCCATAATACGATACGTGAATTTCTCAACTTCCCACAATACTGTAAAATGCATTGTCTTTGAATGCGCGCGAGAGGAAATGTGAGGATCTCAAATTTCCCGGGCGCTGCATTGCTGCTGTGAATCAAATATTCATCCTTCACCGCCCAGTGGAGGATGATGAGACAGGAGATGAGGACTGCAATTATCGTGTTTGCGTACGAAATGGTGATATATCGTAATGGAATGTGACATAAGTGGAACAATGGTGATTCCTATTCCCAATTTTCTCATTCCTGGCGCAGCGCACGAAGAAGTCAAATGACCCGTTTACACGAAAATTACACAATTCCGTGTCCTCTATTTGCCTTTTGTATTCATCGCGCGGGAGAAGTGGCAAATACCATGTGAGCAAAGCTGCTTCTGTAAATCACTTCTTTAGCCCACCCACACTTTTCACCGACTTTTTTCTCTCCATTTCCCGGCACACCGTGTTCTGGGGTGGCTCTCGAGCTTCCCGTCCGAGCCATACATGAGGGGATTTTTCCCAAGTGAGCGTCGGCGAAAAAAGGCACTTGTGCATGTGTGAGTCGTGAATTTTCATTCAGGTAAATTTTCCTCCATTGGAAGATTGTGTGAATAAATTTGCAGAGCAAGTGTGTGTGTGTGTGTGTTATGTTGGAGAATGATTATTTATTTGTGCCATTTATGGGCGCTAGTGGAGCAGCCGTGGAAAGGAAATGTGACTTTGAGAGCGCGGAAAAGGAACAATGACGCATTTGACAAACTCCTGGCAGAAAACACCCTCAACCGCCATTTCAAACTAAGCAAATAAGTACCACTCCATGCTATATTGAGCGGTGGCACAGTGTCGAAAAGTGTAGTGCTCGGCACATTACTCCCAGCACAAACATTCACAAATCACGTTGATTAAACCCACGAGGAGGATAATTTACAATAACAAACTTAATTTGAGCACTCTATGGCTTTCTCATCCCTCAAACTGTGGCCCAATACCGAGTGTTTGATCCCCGTGGAAATGGTGCGAGGCATCTCCGGGCCACTGGCTTTTGCCATGGCAATATTGCTCCATTAGATTGTTTGTTCTTGTACTCCAAGGGTGAAACTTTCCCCAACTGTGACAAAGTGTCGAGAATAAATCATGGGCTCTCTCATCTCGACCACATGCAAACACACACACGAGCACACACGTGAAATATTCGGTAAAAACCCTAATCGCCACAATGTCCCTCATTTCTCCACCAATTACACACGCACTGCCTTCAAATTACTCTCGCCAAACACCAAAATGTGCGACGCTCAATTATATATCAGGGAGTGAAGAGCAAATTTACTTCTCGATGGTAGTTTTCAATTTCAATCAAATGCGCGTCCATGAAGCTGCGTAGCCGCCAGCAAATTCATATGGATATAATTCGATCGTCAAATATTTATGGAAACAATCGCCACAGCTATGCTGAAAATCAACAAGGAAGCGGAAAAATCGTGCTTCACAACATCATGAAATCTCAATTCACTTCCCACGAAGTATACTGCCCAATGACAAAAAGATGATTATTTATTTAAAAAGGGGGTAATTTGTGAACTTTACGAAATATTTATTGCGCACTTTCAATTAATTTTATTCCAATAGAGAAAATTTTACTGGATGAAAACCAATAGACACTCAAAAATATCACTTTCCCTGCACAATTTGCGAAAGTTTCGAAATTAATTTTGAAGCTACGCGCTGAGAGAATGTTAGTCGGTGCTATTAAATTACTGTGCTAATATATGAAAGAGATTCCTCAGTGAATTCCGGATAAATTGGTCCCTTCCACAGAGATGCGCATTACAATGGGAGATTGGCACCGCAGAAATTTCCGTATCCAGCGCGAAAGCGATCAGTGTGAAAAGCCATTAATTAATGAAAGTCGAGAAAGCGATACGCTTAGGAAATTACAAGAACAGACCCATTGACTTCTGGGGAGGTGAAGTATCATTTACAATTGCCAAATTGCGTGAGAATTTTTGCCGGGCGGCTGGGGTGGAGTGGATGGGAAATCGATAGGGCGGCTGATGGGAGAATGATTGGACTCACCCTCAGCAGTGTCACAGATGGCGGAGGAGCCGTCCAGGGGGGTCTGCTCCTCTCGGCTGACGATGGTCGCTGTGCTGGCACTGCTCGCACTGGAGGCTGCCTGAGCGGCCGTCGCGGCGGACGACGATGAGGACGCCGATGAAGATGACGTAGCGATATTGTCGTGTTCTACCGTGCGATCACATTTGCCGTCGCGGCTGTCTCTATCCAAGCTCGGGGAACCAAACGGGAGGCTCGGGAAGGCCTCACGCATGGCCCCCTTGGTCTTAGGGCCGTTATCTGTGGCGCCGGTGCCCCTCCGTGGCGAATATCCCAATCCGACAATATCGGATGCTGCTCGACCCGGTGGAGCGGCCGATTTGCCGCGCTTCTCATCAGCACATAAACTCTGCAACAGAAGGTCAGGACAGCCACACATCAGCCTCTCTATATCACTTGATACACCCCCGAATTATGCGCCCAGGACCCACAACCTCTCATACATTATTCACCGTTCGACGTCGGGGATGAGCGTCTCAGTGAGAGAGAGAGAGAGAGGGAGAGAGAGAGAATGGGCAGGAGATGCTTCCCACTGGCAGATCAAATTGATTTTTCATATTTATTGCTGCCCAGCACTCGGATCGCCCCACTGGGAGCGAGGGCGCAGCGGGCGGCGGCCGTGGGGGCGGGATAGGAAATAGGGCAAAAAGCAAAAGGGGGTAAACCTAATCGGATTTGCTTTAGCCCATTTTCTTGATTACTTACATCCAAATATAATACATTGTCTTCTTAACTGTGTGAATTTACCATCTATTTTTCCAATCCTTCAGCTGTCTTGTGGCCACAGCTCTTCGGGACGCAAGACATAAATAATTCTCTCTCTCTCTCTCGGCACAGGAGAAAGGCTCAAGGAGAAAATTTGAAGTGACTCGTATTTAATTCATGATACCATATTAATCGACTTATTTCTCAGCCACGCACAGTAAATATATTTCTTCAGCACTTTTCCCACCGCCATGTAAGACGCGAGCACAGACTGATTACGGTAAGTACAGATTTCTGTATTGTCATGCTCATTACCTGCCGACACAAATTATTCAATCGAATTACTCCTCAGTGAGTGATTACAAAAATTATTATTCTCAAGTGCTTGAATTTAACCAGACTTTTTGTGCCTGAATTTTCATATAACTGAAAAATTGTTGTTTATTCATCATATGGTTAATTGAATATTGTATATCCCAATTAGTCAATAAAAACGGGTTTCACACCGAAATATTGGAGAATATTCAAAATTTTCCAGTGGTTTTTCACCCCAATATGGAGGGTTATTTGAAACATCAACGCTATTGATATAAATGGAGTGTTTCATGAGCAATTTAATGTCAATTTGTGCATATAGTCAATGAATTAATTAGCGATAATTAATAATATTTCATTTCTGGTGATGTAAAATGCAATTAAACTATAATTTGATTAGCTGGAAGAATCGTTCGGTGTATGAAACAATATACAATTTCCAGCCAATATAGCAAAACATTTCAATCTGAGGGAAGACTCAGAGAATTGAGTCATCAGGGAAATAATAAAGATAATACAGAGAAGTACCAATAGCGATCAAAGCTTCGATTAGTGTCCCATTAAATCGATAGCATCTGCTAATAGTTTGATAATGGAAGCACAAGTTGAAGGTGAAATAATGCGAAGTTATATCGAATCGTGGACACAAAAGCTGAAAATTTTCACCTTAAATGCTTTATAATCAGTTTTGCTGAGGTGAACTTACGTGAGACACGACTTGAGGGTATTGAAATAGTTGGGAGTCATCAGTTGAATGTGAATTTTAGTGTGTAAAACTTTTCACATCTGCACTCGTGAAGCTATTCGCAAAGTTTGATCTCATTGAGAATTATTACATTGCTGGCAGAAAGTGGATGTGAGAAGAGGGTGGCTTTTGAAGTTCACGGTATGTGCAAATGGAAAACACTTCACTTACACCGCATTCACTTCATCTTTAAACACTCCACGCGAGTGTAAATTTATTTGCGTTGTTTGTTCAAATTTAACATTAATTTACTCCACATAATGTTGAAGGATTGCAATGAACTTGCAGATAGTTCACGCTCGTCAATGTATTCAATCAAACTATGAAGTATCTGTTGAAGTAATTCATAGAAGAGATACTCTTTGACTGCAATGTGAACAGTATATTATATTTTAATTTAGTCTCTTCCCAGAATTTTCACAGATATGACGGAACATGACCAAGAGTTGACGATGAATAATTCTAAAAATTAAATCTGCCAACAGAGAACCACGAAACCCCGCTTTTATGGTCTCCGAAATGATATCTCGACAGCTCAAAACAATTTCATTCTACTTCCCTGAATAAATTCACTTTGAATGAAATTGTTTGCATATCCGTAAATCCACTTGTTCACGATGAATATGTTATATTAATTTGCTTTGATGTCGCACAGTTTAGCATGTGATTCATTTACTCCGCGTGCAATTTATCTTGCTTCACTGAGGCAATTTGCCAAGGAAGGAGAGTAAGTGATTTATAAAAGAAGCACATTTCATCGAATTCATCCCGCGAAGTCTTGCACCGAAAGCTCCGCATGGAGTTGCAGGAAAAATAATACAAATCATTATTTATAGACAGAGAGGAAGCACGAATGATACAGATAAAATGTGTATAATGTCTCGTTGTGTATTCGCAATATTATTTATTGGCTAATGTCTCACTCTCTGGGCCAAGCATAAAATTTGATGTAAATTTTAACACTCACCCATCAGTATGTTTATTGGTGTTACCCTCCATATTACACACAGCACGCTTCGGCCACATTAATGAAAAAGTTATAATGCGAACTCTGGGTGACTTGTGTGTGCAGTAAATTAAATATAATTTAGCCACATTTCAGCTCAACTTCAGCCAAAATGCTATATTTCAGTGAATTTTTCATCAATTGCCCGTGACCCAGTGCTCATCGTGCGGACGCCTGGTGGGCAGCGCTGCGCGGCGGAAAAAGCTCACGATGAGTATGGATATTAATACAGGAGGGAAAAGCCACGCCTATAACTTCCTTCCGCTCTCAAAGTCCCCTTTATTGCATTAATATAACTTAATAGCCAAGTCCATTTGCTAAAGTAAAAAATATTGAGGCAATTTTTCATAAGAGACAGCGACGCTACCACGATTGATGCTAGCAAATGTTGCAGGTAAATCGGCTTACAGGCCAAACTGGGGATTTTACAGTCAATTCTGCACACTACTAAAGTGTCCATTTCGACAATGAAATTGAGTAATACATAATCAAAGCATTCTAAGCACTATTTCAAATTTAATACCACCAATGCATTGAACTTTCAGTGAATAATTAGTTGAGGAGTAGAGGATTAAATAGCTGTTATGTTCAACTATTCCATTGTATATGGTCAATTTCATGTTTTCACACTAAATTCATCTATTCAAAATCAACAGGACCTTGAAACTATGGATGCACAGTTGTGAAGCCGCATACAAATAGCAAATTATTTATACTATATTGCAGTTTAAACTCTGAATCATTGATCAAAGTGAAAGTTATCAGTTCTGCATTCTATTTTCCAATAAATTCCCATGAATTCTCCCGAGAACTTATCTAATTTTATCAATTTTCACTTTCTCTCTGGATCACGATTCATGAATCATTTGAAAGTTTCCTCTCACTTGTCTGGCGAACTTTGTGAAATCGAGATAAAATTCACTTCTCAGGAGGCGCGCGCGCGCTCTTTTCAGTAGCATTGTGTGCTTGATTGGGAAAAGTTTGATTATTCCAAATTTTCGCTCTATTGAGCAATTTAAATGCATTCAATTAAAGAGGCAATATCGCCCTTTCTCAGGTGCTCGCATTTCTACAGGCAGCGACTGTGAATGAAACGATATAGTGGTCGATAAAATTTCAATGAACACACACTATAAGTGGAAATTATATCAATATAGACTCCCGTTCTGTGCCACCTTCTAAGGTCTCATGGAGAAATATAGTTAATAGGGATACATATATGGGGGTAATTGAATATTTCTTGTGATCTCGCTTTCGCTCTTTTTCGCCACGCCGCGCCGAAAAACTGTGTGTGTGTCTGTGGGGCGGGAAAAACACGGTGGTGAGGAGAAAAAAGGAGGGAAAGAAGTGGAAACTCAAGTGTGGTTTTAGAGAAAAAGTGTGATATATACATTTTCTTCGCTCTCTTTTGGGCTATAATACACCCCAGTGCTTGAGTGAAATAAAAAAATATGCTAATATCATCACAGTGTACCACATCACGATCATACAATTGTGAATTTCCGACACGAATTTCAATTCGGCTTCCCGTATCATGGAGTCTCGTTGTATATGTGGTGCCTGGATAAAAAAGGGATGCTACACGTTTGTCAGTGGGCTGGAAAATTCAAGGCAGAGATAGAATTCTCGAGTGAGAGAATAAAACAAATAGTCTTAAGCCCTCCACTTAATACATGGCTTCAGATGTTCACCATATATAACCAGGGTCTAGTGAGAAATTGTGTCGCTCTCTCCCTGTTCTCAATCTAGGGCTTCTGCCGTTCTTGTATTTCACCGCCGAGCTGTATAATCCCAATACCCTTTATCGCCTGAAATTTTGCTTATCGCATAAAAATCATTTATGTCTCAGTAAATATTCCGGACGCACTGGGAAGAGCTCACGCATCGGCCCCGAAGATTCGCACCCCATCCACCGCATCTAAATACACTTCTCATTTATTTATGTAAAGCATTACACAATATAAGAATCCCTATTTATATCGCCATACATAAAATGTGCCGAATATCTCGTGAATATATTCTTCCTCTATCGCACTCAATGGAGACGAAGTGATGAAGCTAGCGGCACAAAATGAGCCCAGAAAAGGGCTTCTTGAGATGAGGAGAAGCCTTGAAAAAATCCACTTGAAGCCCAACAGACCCATCAAACCCAAACTATAACAATTGCAACTCCACGCCAAAGCCCACAGTGTCAGCTCCAATCCAATTCAACTATATTTGTGTTTGGCATGCAAAAAAGGGAGAGGAAGTGCTCGGAAAACACAGACTCTGCGATAC